GTTTGAAATTTGTATCAATTTGATACAAAGGATGGATGCGGGTTAAATAAGAAATTGACTTGATTTTTTCATCGATCTGTGCCATTTTTAGGACACAAGAATGTCGCTGAGCTTCCCATCCGTAAAGTAGCCAATGTTAATATTAGAGATATTCAACAAGCTGTTCACAGTCGTAATGTTGACTAAATAAGATACCATTTGGATCTTTTTCATTGATCTGTATTATTATTTTTCAGGTCACAATGATGTCGCTGGACTTTTTATCGGTAAAGGAAAGAAAGTTAATAATTGAACGCTGCTGACAATGGTAATGTTGGATATTTATTTTCATTAAATAAGAAATTGGTTTACTCTTTTTGATCGATGTCTATTTTTCAGGTGGCGAATAGCTGAACTAATTTAGCTGAATAATCGGATGATTTTTTTCTATGCCTAATGCCCATACTCGATCAAAAAAATAACTCCAGTTGTCCATTTACCCACTGTCACCACCGATGTAGAATACTACAACCCATTATTACGCTTGCATCGTCATAGTTTCCTTGAACCCAGAACATTTGTTATTTTTAGGCCCTGAAGAAGAGTCGCAGATGACTTGAAATGTCTGCATTTATTTCAAATAAATTATCGATTAGAACAAAGACCGAATTGGCTTTCATTTCAAAATAAATTCTTTTCTTAATATTCTTGATTTAATGAGATAAAATAAAATTTTAGCGATAATATGAAAAACGCACACCACGGAGGACCTTTAAGCTTTTGACCAGAACAAACGCCATCTAACGATGGCATTATAACTAGTTTGACCGTATTTAGATAGTAAAGCTCAAACGAAAATTCAATGCTAGGTAAATACTTCTTGAAAAGTGCTTGATAAACCTAATAAAATAAATACATTTTTCGATCTTTGCAAGTGCCCTATGACACAAACGGAACAACTTTTTTCTCAGTATTAGTGATATTTTTCTCGAATCTGTGCCATAGATTTTTTACCACTACGAAGAATTTATTTCATGGAAACAAAAAGTTGGCTGTGTTGGTACGAAATGCGACAGTGACAGAATTTTTTTTCTTTTTTATGTGATTTGTATCGGATTGAAAGTATTTCCTTACGTATGTGTTCATTGGAATTTCAAACTAATTGAGGAGCTGTCTATATGTAAAGTAACACTAGAGTATGGATATGATTTTGCATGAGATTCGCTTGTAATTTTTCAAGGGAATGCGTAGATTTGTATCAATATCATCGTATCCTACCTATACCTTATTGAGTGATGTAAAGTAAATGTGATACCGTATATCCTTGCATCAACTAACACTGTAGCTATTGAACAAAGCAATGCCACCATGGCATGTGAGCCTGAATGTAACGCAAAGGTATGGGTCATGTCGTTTGATCATTCACATTCTAATTTACATCATGTAAGCGACGGTTGATATGTGGTCAACTTTGGATCGACTTTGAAACGGCATGTGTTTTGTGCGTGCAGCGAAGATGTGAAAATTTTTAAATTTGAACAGCCACGTGCTATAGTAACACCACTCAACCCTTCAAGAGTGAAAAATATTTTCATTTTAAATTTTAACATTGAATTTGTAGTTTCAAAAACAAGGGGCGAATTACTACTGAAAACCGGTTTTCAGTACTTTTCAGTACCTGCGATCGATTTTCAGTAGCGATTCAGTTTTTTCAGTACCTAGTAAATATATGACTTTTATTGCAGTTCAGTATTGTCAAAATTTCTTGAAACTTGTGTTTAATGTTTGTTTTTTAGCATTCGAAATGGAAATTGAACGTATTTTATCAAAAATAAAGTTCACTCATATTTTAATTAGAAAAGTCTAAAGACACAATAAAGGAGCTGACACCAGGAAAGAGTGATTTATGTCGAAAATAGGTATATGTCTGGCAATTTTCGTCGTATGAAATCTATGACATTGATGTGTGTATTATCAACTCTTAGAAATGTCAGTGCATCTCTAAAACCACGAAGACTAAAGCCAAACAAAACAAGAATGGATTTTTTACACAAATGTTTTTCGGCGTATTTTTATTTCCAAACTACTGAATATCGTATTTTTATAGTTTGGCACTTTTAGACAAATCTTTTTCAATTTTTTCCAAAATTCTACCTCAATATCAATTTTTAAACTGTATAGCGTTAATGATATAAGTCAAGCGTCATAGTTTAACGTATTCAATGCATAAGCTGACACTGAAGTACTGAATACCGGTTTTCAGTATCAAGAAAACAAATTTCAGTAGTTTTCAGTACTTTCAGTCAATTCAGTAGTGATTTGCCCCTTGTTCAAGAAGGTGATGAAAGAATAAATGAAAACATCTGATATTTTCAATGCAAAACATTCGATGTGAAACGCGAAATTAAACACACGTGCACAGGTGGAATTGTAATTCCATCAATTGTTCTGACATTGTTATCTTGGAAAATGTGTGCGATAATATTCTGTGGGCTTTAATTAGAATCGTCATTGTACGTGGATTGAATCATACAGTGTGTTGCCCACCGATGTGGCCACACTTGAAAAGTATATATGAGGATGCGTTCGATTCGCATGTCCATCAAACAGTTCTTACCAATTGATACGTTCATAGTAAACTTTTAATAGTTCGAAGCTAGGAAAATGCTGAGTCGAAGTTCTTTCACACTGCTGCTCATTGGCTTGATGGTATCCGAGGTGAGTCGACAATTTCAGCCGATTTTGTTTAAATTTTTCAGAGTTTGACTCAGGCGACAGATATATGCTTTAGCATAGAAAAAATATCCGCATATTTTTTGGTTTGTCCACTCTCAGTATGTAACGGCACCCAGCTTCATCGAGTATCAGCATGCACACTGAACGTGGTAGTATAGGACGGTTTGTTTACGAAGAAAAAAATTGTTTATAAACAAAATCTACCAGAACTATACAGCGCAAAACCTTAACATAGGACAGCATTGCTGCCGTTTAAATACATTCCGCTGTACAACTCTGGAAGATTTTGTTTATAAACAATTTTTTTCCTTTGTAAACAAACCGTTCTATAATCTATATTACTACGTTCAGTGTGCGTGCTGATACTCGATGAAGCTGGGTGCCGTTATATGCTGAGAGTGGACAAACCAAAAAATATGCGGATATTTTTTCTATGCTAAAGCATATATCTGTCGCCTGAGTCAAACTCTGAAATTTTTGATGTTTGATACTTTTCATGGACAATTTGTGATAATTTTTTCTGAAATAATTTAAAAAATGAAAAGTGTCCTATTTTCAAGTTCTTAAATTGAAAAAATTCTTCTATTCCAGAAAAATGTCCACCGGAAACTTTTATTCTATAAAAAACATTTGAAAACTGTTATTAATACATAATGTATTCATCTCATCCGTTGTTCCCATTCCAAATGTATCACTTTGATTCTATTTCCACAGTTCTTAATCGGGGATGTGAGCGGAGCACCACCCGGGAGGAACGGTAAGATTGAAGTTTCATTTATTTATCCAGTTTAACTCTTAAATTCCATATACAAAGCACCTTGTAACGAAGAAATGGGAACCCCATTTATGCTAAACTTTTCATACATATTTTAGTAAACGGAAAAGACATGTATGGAGAGACAGCTCTGCATAGAGCTGCTTTTGATGGTAATTTTGGACATTTGTTTTTATAAAAAAGAATGTTTTGTTCAATCCGTTTCATTGATCTATGAATATTTTTCATATTCTTTCAGGCAAAGTGAAGGAAGCTGAAAACCTCATCGCTGAAGGAGCCGACCTCAATATTGTAAATAATTTTAATGAGACAGCTCTGCATTATGCTGCTAAGAAAGGTAACGTTGAATACTTATTGTTATTGAATAAAAGATTGACCTGATTTTATCCCATCGATCGGTGTTATTGTTCAGGTCACGAGAGTGTCGCCGAACTTCTCATCCGCAAAGGAGCCAATCTTCATAGTGAAACTAATACGAAAGAGACACCTCTTCATTGTGCTGCTTCCCATGGTAATTTTGAATACTCTTTTCGAGTACTATGCGCATTAGTATTGCTTAGCAGCAAGCATTGAATATGCTTTGGCCAATAGACAAGCATATCGCGATGCAACTGCCGCGCATACAACTATCATGCGAACAAACGTCGCATATACAGCCGTCGCAACCAACTCACACACAAAACCGACTAGCATATATACACGGGTGTCAGAGTTGTGTGTGATGTCTACTAAACTTCGTCAGTGCAGCCTTGACTTTTTTTTTTCACTAAATGGGAAATTGGTTTAATTTTTTCATTGATCCGTATTATTTTAGGTCACGGAGGTGTCGCTGATGTGCTTCTCAAAAATGGAGCTAACGCTAATATTGGAAATAATTTGAATACCACAGCTCTTCATTTAGCTGCTGACTATGGTAATGTTGAATACTTGTTTTCATTAAATAAAAGATTGATTTGATCTTTTCCATCGATCTGAATTATTTTTCAGGTCACAAAAATGTCGCCGAGGTTCTCCTTAACAATGGCGCCAGTATGGATATCATGAATAATTTTAATAATACACC